ATTTGATGAATAATAAAGTAACATTTCTTTAAGTATTATTTATCTATAATTTTATCTAAAAGTTGATAATGAAATGAGTTTTGAGAAAAAATTAAATGGGAAAAAACATTTAAAAAGAACAACGCTTACTTTAAAAATTTTTTAAATTATTTAATAAAAGTCTAATGAATGAATTTAATGAATCAATTCTTTTATTTATTTTTTAAAAATATTTTTTGTATTAATTGGAGAGATAAATTAATTCGTGACTAAATAAAAGAATAAAACAAAAAGTTGTATAATATTTAAAAGAGTGAGCACATTTATTCATAATTTTGAATAATAATAATAATTCTCATATTAGTTTTGGGTAAGTAATTGAAAAAATGGTTTGACCATTTTGATTTTTAAACAGTAATTATCAAATCATTTTCTATTCAGTATTCGTTGACTATCCGTTATTATCTCTTCGACAATTCTGATTCATCCTTTGTCAATCTTGTATAATCGGAATATTGTTCACAATTATCTTTGCGATAAAAAATATTGAATTATTGCGGACAGAAAAGTTAATCGAGTGTTACCGAAATTTTAATAGAAATTAGAAGAAGGGATATTTAATTTCATTTAAAATATATATTTATTTGGCATAACAGATCTTTTTGATATTTTTCGCGCAAATTTCAAGAAATCTCAAGCGAATCTCTAATTCAATTGCGAACATTTGCGAAGGCTCATTACCGAATAGTCACATTTTTCAACCGACCAAAAAACTATCGTGGCATTTTAATGGCGCGCGATCGATCGGTCGACTGTATTTGGACAAGACGACTATCACATATCGCCTCCATCTCGCGCGCTGCACTCGTCGACTTTTTGCCAGAAGGTGGAATGACCGGCCCTGAAACGTTCGGACGTGTGTATGCATTATCCGTCCGTCTCTCGTCCGGTTTATTTCTGGCGGTTCGCGAATTCGTGGAAAGCGCTCCTCTCCTTACCGTGCCCGAGCCCGAGTGATGTCATCCCTTGAAATCACCGCGGCGGGGTGTTTAGTTGCGTAAGAATCGACCGGCAAGGAGAGCTCATTGTCCGTAGCCTTTCCCCTTGCTTCGCGTCAGTCGCATGCACAGATGCATTACGAAGATGAGAAACAAGTGTGTAATCAATAAAGTTAGAATTATTATACGCGGTCTTTTTCATTTAGAAAAGTTTTTCCTTTAAAGCTACTATAACTCTCCTTCACTCTTCATCTCTTATTAATAACTTTTAAAAAATATCGTAAAAATTTTTTTTTAAATATAAAAAATTAAAATTTATAATTTCTCGCAATATATCAACGCAATATTCATAAAAATGGAGAAATTGCAACAATTTAATTCACATATTTGGAGATTCTAAATTAAAGAAACAATATTCTAGACAATTTAATTGGACAGTTTAATCTATGTGGATTAAATAATTGTTAAATAATAATTAGCTATTTTACTAACAATAAATAACTACTTTGACGTAACGTTAATACATTACCTAAGAATTAAAATAAATAATCAACTAATTACTTTATTATTATTACAAAATTATTACAAAATAAATGAATAATGTGAATAAGAAACTGTAACATATGACATGTCCCTTTTATGAGAGATTAATATAGTACGAATAAAGATAGATAGTACGAAGAAATATAAAACTCGTTTGGTCAAAGTTCAACAGTTATATGCTGAGAGTTTTATTTCTTCATATGAATGTGATTTAAGATCGATCAAGCATTGAAGAGAGATTAATGCACACGTGGCGCACCTGCGATCCCGGAAAGTTTTCTTGGCGTCATTTAAATACGACACTGACCTATCGACAGCGCTGCCTCTTAGAACAAGTTGCGAATGATAAATAGTATCGCAAACACGCATCGCGTGGTGACCTGTTTATACTTCAGCGGACTTTCATTATTTCTTCTCTCGATGCTCGTCTCAAGCGTGCAACACGACGAATCCTAAATTCACAGAAAAACGCTCGTCTCTCCTGATACGAGTTTACTTTCGTTTCTCAGGAGCATAATCAAAACGCCAGATTCCATCCTCGACGAAAACCAATTAAAAATTAGACTCCTCGCTCTATATATATATATACATATATATACACACACACATGTTTCTTCGTCTTTTTCCCTTATGTAATTGATAAGACCGTTAATTCACGCGTAACTTTAAAAAAGAGAGAGTCGAAGATCCGAAATACCATCTGTCAAATTGCACGCCAAAGATTCTGTATCTGTATTCTCGTGGCATGCCGACTGTAAACCTCAATAATCTCATTGACCGATGATCAAGATTCCAAGATCATTCTCGCGTCGGCGACATTCGCGTGTGATCTGTCTACAAAGTCGACGCGGCAGATATACATAAGCGACACACCTTTACCTTTATCGTGGCGCAGATGCATAAACTTCAGCACATGAAGTCTCATCTTTCAATCTTAATAATCCATTTAACTGTCCAGAATTGCATGATATAAGCACACTATTATTAAATTATTATTAAATAATATAATAAGCCGAGATAAATTTTAAATAATAAAATAATAGACATTGTTAGCAGGATTGGATCTTAGGTATTCTGTAATTTTTCATTTTTCTTAATTAAATTTATATATATATATATATATATATATATATATATTATATTTATATTTATAATAAATTATATTTAAGCAGTACCATCTATTATCACGTTATTATTGTTCCTAAAATAATTGAACTGTCGTGCGGACTTAAGAATAAATTTAATTTAATCACTTTAATTAAATCGACAGCTAAAAATGTACCTGTGCTCAATTATTATTATCTTTTCTATATTTCATATTATCGATTTTTATATTTAAAATCTATTTCTATATTTAAAGATAAATATAAAATATGAAGAAAGTAAATATATGTAGATAAAAAGGGAAATTGAAAGAAAATAAAGAAATTGTGACATTAAAGAGAATTGACGTAAGAGTCGGAAAACAAAGGGAATCATACGGATGGCGTCAGCGGCGATCAACACTTTGTCACTATCGATGTCATGCTTAATCAGCAATCGCGATCGCTATTAATCGACGATCGCCGTACTTGGCTTATGCCGCGAATACGCGCACGCCGAAGAGAGGGACGGTGAGTGGGTGCGGTGAGAGATTATTGTTTATTCATTCGAGGATTATCCTTCGACGAGTTCAGTGGCTGCGCCTACTTACAGAATGACGGTAATCCTCTCGCTATTTTTTACACCCTCCCACCAAGCGCCGCTCGCCTTCACGCAGCAAGAGGGAACGCGACGGAGACACGTTCGGGTGGTGGCTTATTTATAACCATGCGATTAAGGTGCGACGAGGATCGCCTTTACGCAAAAAAAAAAAAAAAAAATAAGAGAAAAAAAAGAAGAGGAGAGAAAGGAAATTCGAATGAGATTCTTACCGTCATTTTTTTAATGCACTTCTCAGGTATCGTTTGTGCCGAGGGTGACCGTTGGAGAGATCAAAGAAAATTTGTAGCTGGATGTCTGAAGAATTTTGGTATGGTCAAATTATCCGGTACCAAGAGGGACAGAATGGAGGAAAGGATTCTCGCGGCCGTGAATGAGAGCATATCGGTAAATTAAGCACGCCTAGGGTATTTAACACAAGGCCGTCATGTCACTAAATCTGCCCCTAAACGAGTATGTCGATGACCGAACGTTTCATTCCAGAAGAAATATTTAACTTATTATTCAACAAGTTAACATTTATTTATCTAGAAATGTCATCGCATTTAATGAGGCTATTAATTTCTGTAACATTTTGATGCCATCACTTAATAATTTTAGTATTAAAAGGCACTCTATATTATATTGAAAGAAAAAGTTCTCCTCGTTGATTCATCGTATCGGGAGCAAGTACATACGAATGTGATATACGAACGTATTTCTTAAACGCGTTTCGCATTAAATTTCTAGCATATAACACGTAAATGAGATATCCGTCTTATTGATACTTCAGAGATTGAAAAGGCTTCCTATGGAAGGCGGTATTGATCCGCTTGAGACGCTTCATCACTGTCTGGGTAATTTAATGAACGACCTCGTGTTCGGAAAAGTTTATGAGAATCATGACGAAGTGTGGAAATACCTGAGATATCTGCAAGAGGAAGGAGTCAAGCACATTGGAGTCGCAGGGCCACTCAACTTTCTGCCGTTCCTCAGGTACGACACTATCCCTGAGAAAGATCCTTCGAGGATTCTTCCTCTCTGATTTGCATAGCGCGTGATATGTTTTGCATCTCGCTAACGAAAGGTAAACCGCATTACCGCGAAGAAAAAAACCTGAGTAAATTAATTTGCACGACCAATTAACACGTCGATGATGTGACAATGATTCACTCACCGTTTACGATGCAAATGTTTTTCATCGAAGGCGGTGCCTGTGACAAATATGGAAAGAAACTGTCTTTTTTGTATATTCGCAAGTGACATGATAAATTGAACTGGATAGAAAAAAGTAAATACAAATCTTTGCAAACAAAAAAAAATAGCGCGAAGGACAATTTTGTTTTTGTTGAATCATTACGCGTTAAATTTGCATACGTTAGATCGGAAGGTTGATAAAACGTCCTTAACAAAAGGTTATAATTATAAAATCAAATTAGCTTATTCTAACGATAGTAAAACGGATGTAAGATAACATAATTACATCAATAATATACGGATATTATGATAATCGTTGACACATATTCTTTATTTCGAATTTCTATCTTTTTATTTTTAAATAGCATAAATCAATATGTTGAATATATTAACAATATATTTCTATACACATATATGAGTAAACTATATTTAGAAATATCTGAATATATTTTAGAATTAATAATAATAATATTAATTTAAAAATTAAAGAAGTAATTTCAGTCTACATGATTGATGTAAATACTAATAGAAAGTTCTCTTTTCTGGGTTTGCTTCCCTGTTTAGATTTTTACCGCGATATAAAAAAATAATGACGTTACTTATCGGTGGAAAGATAAAGACGCATCAAATATATCAAAAGATTATCGACGATTATCGTGCTCGACCTGAAAAAACGGATAACTTTCTCGCAGCTTTCAACGAAGCAATGAGTAAAGCGGATAATGAGTATTACACGCAGCAACAATATTATCATTTGTTAGCTGATCTTTATGGAGCAGGTGTTGATACCACACTCGCAACTTTTCGTTGGATCCTGCTCTTCATGGCATTGTATCCTGACGAGCAAGTATGCTTTAATTTTTAATAAATTAATTTTTGAAGTTCTGTCTTTCTATAAACAATAACTTTTTAAAGCTCCTGGTTTATCTTGTCTTAAATTATGACTTTAGAAATGAGAAAACACATGATGAATATTTTTATAAAATACATTAAAACGAAAAATTTTTTTTATAAATCAACATTTGCAATCAATAAAATAAATTTATATTTTATATATTTACTATATAT